TCTGCTTACATTTATAACCACACAGACCGCGGCGTTGTCTTCGGCTTAGAGCTGAGCCGGACGGACGGACAGTTACACCCAGGAGAACGTGGAGTAAACTTAATGCTTTACCCCGGACGATTAGAGAGACGGGAAAGTTGGAAATAACAGAACAAAGTTCCAGTTTGGGTCTGGACCTCTGTCTCCTGTCAGGGCTACGAGCTGCGGGACTCTAAGCTAACAGCGGTGAGACGCTGTGGAGGTAACCTATCTCTGTTCAGCCTGCTGTGATTTGGACAGTCTTTAGCCTTTATACACACGTCTTCTAACTTTACACAGTGTCTTCAAAATGGATAAATACGAGGATTTAGGACTAGAAGCGAGTAAGTTTATCGAGGATCTAAACATGTATGAAGCATCCAGAGATGGTTTATTTCGAACGAGAAGGGATGCGGGAAACAACCCCGACTTTGAAGAGACAAGAAGAGTTTTTGCCTCTAAAATGACTAAAATACACATGCAGAAACACCAAGAGGAGATGGCGAAAAACAACCAGGCCATTAAAATGAATGGGGGTCTCAGCAGCACATATTACACCAAAGACAGACCGCCCATCAATTGTTACCGACAGCCGGGTGAAGCGGCAGCGAAGCCCCCGATCCTCTCTGGCCCCGTGCCGGGCACCACGGCTGGTAATCAGTACGCACAGTCTGACAGCCAGAAACACCACGCAGGCATCCAGTCTGAACTTCCAGGAAGCAGGGCATATGGCTACGGAAACAATTACGATAATAAGGAGCGTTTAGAGCCGCTTTCATACCAGCACAGCACCCATAGTCCCTCCACCCCAGGAAACGCGTCCCATAGCGCGCCCACACACGCTCGTCATCCCGTCAGCCAGGCAGCTGCTTGGGCCCCATCCAGAGAGAACCAGCTTTCCCCATCTCTGTCTGAGTCTGGGAGCAGCAGCACATCTCACCAGCAGCCCCAGCTCCTGCCTGCACCTCCCACAATCAACAGTCTTCCATCTCAGCAGACTCCGGCTGTCACTTCTTCTGTAAATCGCAGTCCCCCCTCCTCTGCTGGTCCAGCCAGGGGATGGGCTGGAGAGCCTTCTGGCTCAGCAAAAGCAGACCTCATCCCTGCCCTCCCTCTGAGTGCCTTCACAGGAGGAACAGATTTCCATGTGCAGCAGCCCTCCACACAGGCTGCTGCCGATTATGCACCACCTTCTCCAACTTTGAGAGCCTCTCCTAGCCATAATAGTTCTGTGGCAGCGTCCCCTTTCCT